AAAAAAGTATAAAAGAGTAAAGTTAAAAATAATTTTTAAGTATTTTTAAGAATTGAAATCATTAGAATCAAAGTCAAAGAAGATAAATTTTTGACCTTTAAATATTTTTTAGAATGTTTTGTTTATGTTATATAGTTAAAATACTTTTCTATTTCATTTAACTCATGCTTATTTGTTGTAAATTACTTCATACTAAAATCTGTTTCATGCAGTGTTTATCATATGCCAACTATGTATAAAAATTTTGCTTGGTAATGTTTGGTAATACTTGGCAAAACTTGACAAAAACTTGACAAAAATTTTAGCCTAACATGTGTTTTAGTGGTTTTCTTGTCCTTTTCTTTCTTAGAAATTTGTAAGGTCTCTAAACCTATTCTAGATTCTGTGCCAACATATAAAATAAGTGCAAAATTACAGGTTGAACTTTTGATATTTTGTATTGGACTCAATTTATTTAATTGTGTTCTAATTGAAAGTCTGAGCTGTGATTTCTCTTGGAAGCACTCAAACAGCATAAATAAGGTTTCAAAATTAAAATCAGAGAATCTCATTTTATTTTTCCAATTATAATTCAATATAGTAAAATGCTATTTAAAAAATCCTGCTTAGTTTAATTTTGAAACCACCAATATTAATAACATTTATTATGCTATAACGCGAATATAAAAATTTTGATTAACTTATTTTCAATGCGCATATACAATATTTTAAATACAGTACAACGCATTGTCTACGTATCTGTCATCAGTTTATCCGGATTTTCGTAGAATTATTGGTTATCCGTAAGGGTTACCCGGTTATCTGTAGGATTTATCCGGATACAGCTTTTATAAAAAAGGTACAGAGAAACGGGTATCCGGATAACGATAACTGATTTATACCCTGCGGTCTTGATATACAGTAGACTCGCTAATTGAAGTATACTCGCAATTTACAAAACCTATCAATGAATTAATTGTCGTGACTCGATTGAATGATTCACTCTTCTGAGTTTAATTCACGAGTCACGAGTTGATACGAGTCCAGTCACCACACTGTACCTTAGAACGGTTTGAGAGGCCATAAATGCAGATTGTTAGTCATTTTTAACATCATAATTAACTTGCGAGTTAAAATTTCGAGTCACGAGTTGACGAGTCCAGTCACTACTCAGATGTTATTTGGACTTCGCCCTATGGAGTGCATCGTTTATATATGAATTGCACGTTATTTTTGGACGCCTATGGACTTATTCCTGTAGGATTCGATTTTAGAAATAGCCCCTATGATTTCGGGATTTAATAAGTTATATCTTAGTGCAAATAGTTTTTATGGCAAGTACCGACTGTTTTTTAATATTAAGATTAATCTTTAGGTTAATAAAATTTTATAATAAATTTTAACAACACAGACATCTTAAAATACGAAACTTTATTTTGTGATATATTTCACTTTATTTTGTGCATGAAAAAACTGATAATATGTAAGCAATTCTATTAGAGAATAGGAACAAAAATTCAAAGTTTATTAAAGTACAAAACACAATTTTTTGGAGATTAATACACATATATATTTTTTCTAGTCTAACTGATACATTTTATAATATTGAATAAAAGAAAAAAATTCCAGATTTTAAAACGTAAAGAGGAATGAATAATCAAAGTTATTTGATTTCAAATTGCACCGAATCCACCGAATCCACCAGCAAGTGGAACTGCGCCGAAACCACCAGCTAACGGAAGTAAACCAAGACCACCAAAACCACCAAGACCACCAAGGCCACCAAGACCACCAGCTAACGGAAGTAAACCAAGACCACCAAAACCACCAAGGCCACCAAGGCCATTAATGCCCTCATCTGCAATAGGAAGAGTGCGTTTCCTAATAACCGGAATTTCGGTAGGCATGAAGCTCTTCTTACTGATCGGGATTGTATCAGGAGAAGTACGCTTAGCTTGAGTGATGAGCAAAGGAACAAATGAGGAAATTGGGCTTGTACGTTTATTCACATTCGCAATGATATTAGGGTATTGTGGATTAACAGGAGCACACTGTGTGATCGTGAAGATATAAAAGAGAGATATAAGTATAAGAAAATATAATTTGACCATGTTGATGTTGAATTGTACTGAAATAAATATTTTTTAAGCAAAAAGAGTTGAAGAACACAGAGGCACATAGGTTGAGAAAGACGAGTATTTATAATTATACGAAAATAAATCTTAAGCTCTGACATTTAAAGGATCTAATATTTCGTTATTGACTTTGATTCTAATGATTTCAATTCTTAAAAATACTTAAAAATTATTTTTAACTTTACTCTTTTATACTTTTTT